ATCTTAATAAAATACAAAAATAAAATTTACACTTCATACAAGGATACGGTAATTGTAAATGAAGTAAATATTCTGTAAGTATTTTAAATTTCATTAATATTTCTGGTACAGGAATATGTAAAGAACTTGCATTATTACCGCAGAAAGGCCATTTTAATCCTTTTAATATATCATTATATTCTCTGAAAATTATTAGTATGTACATTTGTCATATATATATATATATACATTAAATATATAAAAATATATTAAATAAAAATATACTTTGATAATTTATCCTTTATAAGATTATGCCAAAAATATAAAGTTTCTTTTACATAATTTTGGAGATAATGACAAGTTGATGATCTTAATTGACAACTAATATTTGTAAGATCTACATATAATGAGATAGTTAATTCATCATCACCATTTGTTAAAGATACTTGTATTTCATCGCTAAAATCATAGTCCTTTAATATTAGAAATAATTATAAAATATAAATAAATAAATAATAATAATAATTTACCTAATGTTTTCAACATATTTTATAAAATTCAAATATGATAAGGATTTGTTTAAATAAGTTATAACATTGATAATTTTTTGCATTTCTAAACTTTTATCATTTTCATGCATTGTTTCTTGTATGTTCTCTCTAAATTCGGTAAAAACTTTTTGTAATTGTTGAAATTCAATATCTATTTTTTCAACATTTTCTATAACTGCCTTTACTTTTGATGGAGCTTCACTGGATGCCATTGACAGCTAAATTTAAAAGATCAATAACAAAAAATTTTCTTTATCAAATTTTTTTTATGTGAAAATAAACGAAAATGTAAAGTATTTTTAATAAAATTTTAATATAATAATAATATGTTTTTAAATACATACTGATTTTTGAATTTCATTTTTCTGAGTATTAAGATATTGATGAAATTCATATATTTTATTAAGTCCTCTTAAATCATTTCCTAATTCTGTATTAAATTTGTGTATAATTGTTTCTTTTGTATCTATCATAATGTTATATCTATCATAAATATCTTTTAACAAATGTATAAGAAATTTGATAATTTAAGGTTATGGTATTTAATATTATGAAACATATAACTACAATACTTAATATATATGTACTACACAATATACAACTTTAGACAAATAAGTAAAGATGATTGAATGTGGAATATAGCAATATAAATATAAAAAAATGAAATTCGAATGCTCATTCGTTCAAAAAAATATATAAGGCTAATTTAAATATATTTAAATAAAAAATAAATATCACCGAGATTTTTAAAATCTGATAATAATTTTAATTCATTTAATTATCATTCATATTTAACATAGAATAAAATTGTAATATTGACAATTTAATAAAAAATAAAATTATAAATAAAATAGTACATATATGATAAAATATTTTATAACCTCCTATATTATTAATATTTTATAATTCTAATTTATAATTCTAAAACTACTTATGAAACATAAATTAAGAATCATTTTGATGATAAGAATCGTTTATGTTAAAGAATAATATAAAATTACATTTGTATTCCAAGATGAACAATATAATATAGTTAAATTATTGAATAATTATTTTTTATGTATAGATAGAAATATACAATCATATAAATTATTCCACCGAACTTCACACCAGTTGCTGGTTTTAATAAATATAAATAATACATAATCAGGAAATTAATTTGATACAAATTTAATAAAAATTTATGAATTTGATTATCAATTATAACATTCTCTTTCACACAGAAAAATATTCTTA